AAACATCGATCAGCTGCCTCCTGCACACTCCCCACTGGGGATGTGCCCGCAACCAAGGTACATGCCCCTGACCGGAATCGAACCTGGGACCCTTCAGTCCGCAGGCCGGGGCTCTACCCACTGAGCCAAACCCTCTGTCAGGGCGACATGTTTTCTGTACTCCAGGCTGGAGGACAGTAGCTGAGGCTGTCTCACCCAGTGAAAGTTGGCAACAGAAACTGGGCAAGGGAGCCTACACCCTTCTCAGATTAGGGTTAGTGATGGCGAACCTTTTGAGCTCGGCGTGTCAGCATTTTGAAAAACCCTGACTTAACTCTGGTGATGTGTCACATATAGAAATTTTTTAAATATTTGCAACCATAGTAAAACAAAGACTTATATTTTTGATATTTTATATATTTAAATGCCATTTAACAAAGAAAAATCAACCAGAAAAATGAGTTCGCGTGTCACCTCTGACACGCGTGTCATAGGTTCACCATCACTGGGTTAGATAGAAAAGAGCTGTCGCCTGCCCAGGCCCGCCCTCTGGTGTCAGGATGTGAGGGCAGTTGTGAGAACCACCACTGTGTTTGTTGGAGCCGCATAAATGATTTCCCTTTTCCTCCAGGATGGTCATGTGATACCTAAGAGGTTTGTACCACAAATGTGACCAGAGGGGTTAAAACTCAGATTTTTATTCTACTCATCAGGTGACAACCATAACGGAACTCTTAAATTTGCCACCTGAGTATTTTAAATTTTTAAAAATATATTTTTATTGATTTTAGAGAGAAAGGGAGAGGATGATAGAAACAGCAATGATGAGAGAGAATCAGTGACTGGCTGCCTCCTGCACGCCCCCTACTGGGGACCAGGGGGACCCGGGCATGTGCCCCTGACCAGAATCGAACCTGGGGCCCTTCAGTCCACAGGCGGATGCTCTATCCACTGAGCCAAACCGGCTAGGGCTCCATTAAGTGTTAGAGAAAGTGGGAGAGGGAGAGAGAAAAAAACCCATGTGAGAGAGACACATCGATTGGTTGTCTTCCACATGCCCCGGGCCAGGGCCAGGAGCCTGGGACCGAGGTGCGTGCCCTTGACTGGAGTTGAATCCAGGACCCTTCAGTCCGCAGGCCACGCTCTATCCACTGAGCAACACAGGCCAGGGCCTCGATGCCAGTTCCTATTGACAGCGGAGAATCTGCCTTTGTCCTCTGGAGAGCCCAGGTTTGAGTAACTGGTCAGCCACATGGTGCTGCTCCATGTGTGTGAGGAAACTCGGGGGGCAACATCAAGGTTTCGTTCGGTGAGTCCCTTGTTAGCAATACCGCTTCAGTGTGTGTGGTCACACACCATGGGCGGCAGACGAGCGCCACCCCTGTGACCCCGCTGGGTGGGGTCTCCTGGGCTCTGTCCTCTGCGTGGCGTCTTCCTTTGCTGACTCATCGCTGGCCCCTCATTGGGATAAATCAAGGGGCTGGTCAGGGCGCCGCCCCTGGAGGCTCCGGGTGGACTCTGTCCCGGCCCCCAGAGCTGAGTCTTGTGTCCTTAACTCATGAGCACACCCGCCTCCCTCTTGCTTCAGCCTTTCCCCAGGACAGCGTCCCCTCTGCGGCCTCGGGCGAGGGCACATGGTCACACCGTGGGCAGATACAGGTACTCCCACTCCATCTCAGCCAAAGGCCGAGGAGCGATAGGGGAGTCTCCTCTCCAAACCCGGATCGGTGACCCCACGAGGCCCAGGACTGAGGAGTGGACATCTTTGGGGGACATGAGTCAGCCTCCTGCAGGGGTGGGGCAGGTGGTTAATTGTCTTAAAAATGTGTTTGCTGCCCTGACCGGTTTGGCTCAGTGGATAGAGCGTCGGCCTGCAGACTGAAGGGTCCCGGGTTCCAGTCAAGGGCATGTACCTGGGTTGTAGGCACGTCCCCAGTAGGGAGTGTGCAGGAGGCGGCTGATCGATGTTTCTAACTCTATCCCTCTCCCTTCCTCTCTGTAAAAAAAATCAATAAAAAATACTTTTTAAAAAATGACTCAACTCTTTAAAAAAAAAGTTTGTTTTGCGGGGCCTGGGTGGCTCAGTGGTTGAGCATCAACCGAGGAACCAGGAGGTCAGGGTTCCATTCACCACCAGGGCGCATGCCGGGTTCCGGCTGGGTCCCCCATGGAGGTCGTGCAGGAGGCAGCTGATCCATGACTCTCCCATCATTGACGTTTCTCCCCCTCCCCCTCCCCCTCACTCTGAAATAAAACAACATAAGGCTAACCTTGCGCATCGCTGAGGCCTGTGGGCAGGACGAGCCCACTTGGCGCAGACGCTCGCCGGTCCCCTCCCGGCGCCCGCAGTCCTGGCCCCAAGTCTGAAGGCTCAGCGCCCAGCCGGTTCCCCCCGTGGGGCCTCTACAGATCCGAGGGTGACCTTGGGGTCCCAGACCCCAACCCCCACTCTGATTGGTAGCCAACTGCGGGACCCTGTGCGCAGGCGCGCAGCTCTCTCGCCCGTGGGCGCG